TTGTATTTTGGACATGCTTTGTCAGTTGTCATTCAAACTTGGTACATAGATTATACATGTTAGGATACATGTCCATGATGGATCAAAGATGGTCGACTGGCAGGCATCTTGTTTTTGTTTATTTATGCGGTATCTTGGATGTGCTCCGTCAGTTTTCATTCAAATTTGGCACATACATGTACTTTATACATGTTAGGATGCATATCCATGACAATTTGTTTCAAAATCTGGTCAAGGATGGCCGATTGACAGCCATCTGACTTTTTGGCCTTACTACTATATTTCAACAATTTATGTACCATTTTCATTCGTATTTGGCACATACATCATACATATCAGTGTGTTTCATAATCAGATCAAAGATGGCTGAATAACGGCTGTTTTTATTTTGGGGACTGTCATTTTCAATGACTTGTTTAAACATTAACCTTGTTAACCAGCCAGATCCTTAAAAATGAACTCACTATTGCTTCCATTCTCATTACAGGTGTATGCGAAGGTGCACGGACTATCAAAATAAGAAGGCAATGGCTTGGCAGTATTAATAAATAAAAAATAAAAAAAATATTGTAAATCTTGTCGTGTTTATTTGACTTGGAAGTTTTGACAAATGTGGGCAGTGTTCAAATGATATTGTTTGAATACATTAGTCTAAACATCTAGGTGCAATAAATGGTAAACCATACTTTTTTGTGACTTAATTATTTTAAATTCTTGATGCCAAAATTTTTCAAAAGTAGCTCTGAAATGCCACTTGTCATAGGATCTGAAAATTATTCACTGTTCACAACTTGTTAAATTGAATTTAGATTACTTTCAAAATGAAGCTAACCTAACCTAAAAACATCAACGTTGTCAAGAGCTGGCTAGCATCAATATTTCTTGATTTGCCAAACCAATAGATTTTATTTTCATGGTGATCACAATCGGTAGGGTAAGTTTTGCATATTGCACAATGTTGAGATGCAGTATTAGCACATTCTAATCAGATGTAGACTGGTAGCTTTCAAACAATATGAAGCTGTCAAAACTGGTTTGGAATTAGAGTGCTGTTTGTAACACCGATTGCCGGCTGATCATGTAAAACTGTATGGATCACATGTAGTTGCAGGTAGCCATACCAACTACCAACATTGATTTCTGGATTTATCAAATTGTACTTGTGTGTTGCATTCCAACCTGCCATAGTTATCTTTTTGCTGTATTCTAAAAACTGCTCTTGCAAAATATATTGTCAAGCTTAGAAATTTTAATTGGAAGATTCATGAATGTCATAAAAGCATATGGCCAATCTTTTGCTTGGGGGGGGGGGGGGGTGCTCTATAACTCCAGTTTAAAATTTTTCTGATGAGTCCCTCTTGCAAGAAATTAGGTTTAAGACGGCATGGGGCTGAAATGTACATTTCTCGGCTGTGAGTGAGAAGTTGTGCCTGATGAGTCTAATTTAGGCTGGCAGGTCAACATGAACATGGAGTCAAATTATGACTAATCAAGAGCACAAGTTGCTAGGTTGGACAGACTTAGGTCAATCCCGGATAATTCAGAATCTGTTTACCACAAGGACTACTATGCACAATTTGCACCCATATCAGGAAAACGGGCTTTACCGTAGCCATTTTGTCAGGCTTTGAGTTCGCAATGAAAGAGCTTTCGTTGCACCATGATCGACTGTTTTTGTAGAGCAGGTGGTGGGGCATGCTAATCTTTGTACGAGATCACTTGGTTACCAACTATTGTCAAGCCTGAGAGAGTTGTGGAAAGTTGTCGATGGATTCCGCATCACAGAACTGTATAGTTGCCAACCAAGGTTGTTTTCCTATTGGAGAATGCGTAGGAGTAGAAATAATCACTATGTCATCACCAGTGACAAAGATGGCAGTTCACCTATGACCTATAGATACTGTATGATATAGTACCACTTATGGACCCAGTGCAAGCTTTACTAGGAAAGGCCGTCTTACATTGGAAGGGCCTGATGTTACATCAGTCAGGAAACTGGACGTCAGTACATGACATTCCTTGAGGACAATGTCCTATTAGCTTGACATTAATTGGCGAGGAAACGGCATACACCCATACTTCCTCAGTATATGGGTAAAGTACACAAGTTACATGCAGAATTTCCCCTGACACATCTCCATGTTCACTAGGTCAGGGGACTGGCATTTCATTCAATAGCATTGATTGATCATGTTATAAGTTTGGGATTTTTTAAGACTCTGAATGTCTTCATTAGCCATTATTTATCAGACTTGGCTCATGAGATAGAAGTTTTGAACTGACTAGGCCTGCTAGTTCGACTGGCCTTATACGAGCATGCAATCGGTATGTGCGAGTAACTTTTCTTGTCTTTCCGAGTTATTATTGTGAAATAAGCTAGTTCCCCAGCTTATCCGAGTTACTCTCAGTAAAAGTGTTTCTAGTTTTCAGTCCACTATTATACTCAACACTGAATTAAAGAACGGTAATCGTCGCGCCACGCATGCGTGAGATACTAGTATATGGGTTTCATATAAACAAAGATGGTGACTTGCACAGATCAGAGTACAAACCTAGACATTTCCAAGCTTTAATTAGGTAATCGGTATCGAAGGAGTCGCTGCCAGTAATTCGTGCAAGTCGCACACAGGTCAAACCTCATATCTGTGATTTCCATTTGAAGAGCACATTGGATTGTGGGAAGTCAATGTTTATCAACACAAATGGTCAAGTCAGTATGGCTGAACAGTATAATACACCTCAGGATTTTTGGAAATTTTACATAGTAAAGTCATTATCACTGCAGTTTCTCTGTGGTAAAAATTATAACTGGAGTTAAAGCGGGGGA